CACAACAATATATCCTGGTAAAATGTTATTGGATTTCAACAACTTTACAGAGGAAGGGAAGGGAGGGGAGGTGAGGGAGGTCATGGTGCCTTCTGTTCTCTGTGTACCCTTTACACAGTATTTATAATGACATATGTGACTATATTTAGGGTCTGCCCAGATAATCCAGCATAATAATCCCTCTATTTCAAGATCCCTAATTAATCATATCAGCAAGGATTAGCATTTATAGATTCCACATAGGTTATAAAGAAATTAAGGTAATTGTAAGGGGCTACTCTTCTCAATTTAGTGCAAATAAACTGGAAAACTGGGATGAAGTAGATAATGTTCCATAAATGTATAATTTGCCAAAACTCTTTGCAGTATAAAATTTAAACATATTTCTAAAATATAAAGAAATGTGTCAAAGAACCTTCTTCCGCATTCTTTCCTTCCCCCACCAAAATAATAAAGTGCCTGAACTAGGCAAATCACAAGGAAATTCTAAGAAAACCTTAAAAAAAAAAAACATAATTCCAGTGGTATTTTAACTGTTGTAATGTACAGAAAAAGAATGTTCTTAAATTTTGTTTTTGAAGTGGGTATAAAGTATTCCTCAAAGTCAACTAGAATTGCATAAAAAGAAAACAATCACATTTCAAAAGTTCACTAGAAGGCACTGATTTAATTCAATGTTAGGATATATGGAAATCAATAATCTTCTTGTATTCAAACAACAACTGGTTAGAAGCCAGAACATGAGGAAAAAAATGCCTTAATTTCAATAACAGCACAATAGATAAAGTTTCTGAGAGGAAATGTGTGAGATCATTATAAAAAAGACTTTAAAATGTGACAGAGGAACACAAAATAAGATATGAACAAAAGAAAAAGCCTTCCCTGTCCTTGTATAGGATGACTCAACATCATAAAGATGTCAATTCTCTCTAAATTAACCCACAATTTTCACAGAAGTCTAATAAAAATGTCAGCATCATTTTGTCAGAATAATCAAGCTAAGTCAAAAGTTCATGTGGAAAAATAAACATGTAAAAATAGCCAAGAAAAGTCTGGAATGCAAGGGAAACTTTCTCCAAGTCTTAACACATTACAAAGCTGCAGTAAGTAAACTACTGTAACACTGCCACATAAATAAATAGACAAATCATGGAGAAGAACATGAAGTCTAGGAAAGGACATATATCTATGTATGGCATTTTAGAAAAGGGGTTATTTCTAATAGGTGGGAAAAGATGGATTATTTAATAGAGTTGAGAAAAATGGGTTGGGGAAAAAAAGGAAAAATCCAATTCCATTCCTAACACCTAATAATAGGAGGAATTCCTATTTTCTTTAAACACTTAAAATTTTAAAGAAAAGACCAAAATGTTTAAAGAAACATTTAAAATTTTAAGTGTTTAAAGAAAAGATCAAAATACCAAGGGAAACCATAAGAAGTAGAAGGCCTTTCTAATTACATGAAACTCAAAGCTATAGAAAGAAAGGTTGCTAAATTCTATTAAATATTTTTAAAACGTTCATGGTAAAAAGTACAAGCAAAGTCAAAAGGAAAATATCATGTTGGGTGAAAAACCATGAACTTACATCACAGACAAAAAGTTAATCTCTCTAATGTATAAAGAATTCTTAGAAGTCAAAGAGAAAAACACAATCCAATGGGGAAAAAATGGGCAAAAAATATGGACAGTTGACAGAAAAAGAAGTATGAATTGCCCTTAAACATATGAAGAAGCTCACTAATAATAAGAAAAAAAAATTAAGCCTATCACATTGGCAGAAATCAAATTCATATAATTCACTGTTTGAAGGACCAGGATAGAGAAACTGATCTCACACTTGTTGGTGAGAGTGTAAATTGGTACATCTTCTGTGAAGGGCAATTTGGCAATGTCCGTCAAGTTTATAAATACTGTATAGCCTTTCAGAAATATATTCTAAGATATATGTTTGTGATATGATGTATGTACAAGGTTATACACTGTGGCGTTATTTGTAGTACCAAAAGAGTGGGAGCAATCTAAATGTCTATTAATGTCCATTAATATGAGATCAGTTAAATACAGTATAGTACAACCATACATGGACCACTACAGAGCCATACAAAGGCATAAAGAAACTACGTACATATTGGCTGATATGGAATGGCCTCCAAAGTCACTGGAGAAAAGAATATACACACACACACAGACATCTCTGAAAAGACACACAAGAAGCTGATGAAACTGGCTGTATTAGAGAAGGGGAACTGCGTGGCTGGGAGACAGGAGTGTGAAGGACACTTTTTATGCCTTTTGCATTTTTAAAATTCATAAATAAATAAGGGAGGTCATAAGGCTTTGTGAGTCATAAGTGCCAAAATGAACTCTAGAGATAATAACTAATAAAAAAATAAATAAATATAATAGATAGAATGAAGTAAAGTTATATTTCAACCTTCTCCTTCTATTTCTTTCCCTCCAAATGCACACATCCTCCTCCAATTTTAGTTTTGTCTGATCTCTATCCTTGTCCTCTCTCAAGAAGTGTTTTAACATTTCTAATACTTTTCCAATCAGTCTCATTTCAACATCTCAATTTCTATATGTGCTATGTTCAATAACAAACGAGCTGGAATAATTTATTTGAGGCAATCATAAAAGAATCACAGCTTTTGGAAGGTACTTTTAAAAAGCAATCGTTAAAATATTGCCTGTTGTTTGAAAAAATGTGTCATGGGTCATTTTAATAATATTTGTTTAGAGAATATCCTCTCCTGGCATCTTTAATTGTAATGTGCACATTAAAGAAGCTTTTAGATATATTAATAAAGTCACATGTCAGATAATCATGGTGTCCATGGAGATGCACAAACCTATATATCAAAATATGAGAAAATATTAAAATTTATATTTCTATTATTTTATCATCCTCATAATGTACAAAGTAATATGTAATTTATAAATAATAGGTATGCATAAATGTTCTGTGCTCAACTTTTTCTTTTTGCATGTGCTCAACCTTTTTTATCCACAGAAGTGCACGATCAAAATGTTTGGTAACTGCTGCCAAAAGATTTTTTTTTTTTTCACGTAAGGAGGAATCATGTGCACTATAGAATGTTGAACCAGGCATAGTGAAAAGAAGCAGCTATAAATTGTGAATTTCTAAGTTAAATGCTATTAAACTCATTTAGTATGGAACTTAGCATAATGCTATCTGAAAATAATAGTAAATTATAGAACTTTCAAGTTAGGAAAAAGTATTATCACCTATTCCGAATCTCCTTATTACAAACATGAGGTAACCACAGTCCTACGAAAATTAAAAATGTTCTCTATGTCATAAGGCTGACTCCTGGTAACAGAGCCTGCTATAGAACCCAAATTTCTCAACACTTTGTACTTCTCCTGCACAAGATATGGGGAGAGAGACAGAGACAGAGACAGAGAGACAGGAAGATAAGGAAATGAAGATAGACATTGAAATTAAGCAGCAGGCCAACCTGTGTTCTCATGATTGTATTTTCTCCTATTACTTTCTTTTCTCCTATGTATCTATACCTTTGGGATGCCTGGGGGGGTTCAGTGGTTGAGTGTCTGCCTTCAGTTCCTGAGTTCCAGGATCAAGTCCTGCATCCGTCTTCCTGTGAGAAACTTACTTCTCCCTCTGCCTCTGTCTCTGCCTCTCTCTCTGTATTTCTCACAAATATTTTTTTTAAAAAGTCCATCTTAAGGGATGATAAGAATTTAAACCTGCAAAAATAGATCCTATATTAACTTTTCAAGTCCATTAGCCTGATTCTGGGTTGAATTATCTCCAGGGCTCTCAAAGTAGAAATAACAGGAGTATGACAAAATTGAGACATGATACTATGAAAAAAAAAAAACCGAAGAGAAATGAAAAGTACTTATCCAGGTAATTCAAACTCATTTTTAATACCTTGATTATGTTTATGTAGTCCCCTCACAATATTGATAAAGGAAATTTTCAACTTTGTATGTTTCCTGCTCTTGAGCTCCCAGAGAAGCTATATTTTAACAAGGTCAAAATGACATGGAAAACCTCAAAGCATGAGTTCTATTTATATCCCCAGCAAACATTCATCTTCTTCACTTAAAAATAAATAATAAATAAAACAGAAAATAACCAAAAATGATCATATTGAACACAAGAAAAAAGAAACTTCCCTGGTTCGTGTAAGATTAAAGCCATACAGTCTTCCAATGCACTATAAAAACTAAGATAAATTTTATGACTTTCTAGAATGTTCTTAATCATGGTGATTTGTAATTTTTTACGTTAAGACATATATAACCTTGCACCAAATGTTTTTTTTTTCCCCCTAGAACACTTTCTTCTTTGTGAATACTGTGTATACCCAAGGCAGCTGTCTTAACTTGGGCTGCAATAAAACTCTTTTTCCTTTCTCTTTAAAAAAAAAAAAAAAAAAAAAAAGGTTTGTTCGTTTTGCACCAATACGTACAGGTCGCTCGTAAGAAATTTGACTGTATTGACACTGGCATTGGTTTCAACTACGGCTATGTCAATCAGTTTTGTCAATTTTTGAGAAACTGACACCTTATTGGGTTGAGAAGACTAAATGGCTTGATGCAAATAATCGCTTAGCAAGTGTCTAGCATATAGTTAAGCACATGTACAACTTAACTCCTGAGTCACACACCTCCAGACAGGTGAAGTGACATGGTCAAGGTCTCACTTTTTATACTAGGGAAACCACTTAGAAACCCAGACTCCTCCTCTAAGGAAAGTAAAAACCAAGACATTTAGGGAGTTGACTAAGTCGTAATTCTTAAAATGATTGGGGCCAGGTGTAAGCGTGGGTGGCCTCTGGCAAGACCAAAGTTGTAGCTACAGAAATCCACCAAGCAGGTCCGCCCCATCTTTTTCGTTCGAGAAAGGCCGGAACTACATTTCCCAGCGACCCTCGTGCTGCTTCCGGTGCAGTGCGCCGGCGCTCTGCTTTCCGGCCGTATTTTTTTTTTTTTTTTTTTTTTTTTGTTGTTTACGACAGTTCGGTTGGAAGACTCCTTGAGCTGAAGCCGAGCTCTGGAGCATGGGGTCTTTCGTTTCCCGGTCTCAGGAGCCGATCCAGGTCGCTGCGCTTCCGGAGGCCACCCACTCCGCCGAGCCCCTGCCCCTCGCCGCACCCGGAGCGCCGACCTCTCCAGCGGAAGCCCGTGTGTTTAATGACTGCTGGAGCTGTCGCGTGCTGTCCGGGTCGGGGCTGGTAGGGGCGGGCGGGTACGTGTACTGGGTGGCGCGGAAGCCCATGAAGCTGGGATACGCCCCGGGTCCGGGCACTATTACGCAGATGGTCGTCGGCATCAGTGAGAGTCGGGGCCCCGCAGGGCCTGGGGGCGGGGGAGCTGGACGCGGGGCCGCAGCCCGCGGGGCGTGCGGGCAGGTCACGGGGCGGGGGGCGGGGGCTCCAAACCGGAAGCGAGGCCGGGAGAAGGGGCTGGTGGGAAGCTTTTCTCGTTAAAAAAAAAAAAAAAAAAAAAAATCTCAGTATTTCTCGAGAACTTTTATTAGCTTCAACCTTTAATCCAGCAATAGGTATGATTATAGTAATCCCTTTTTACCGCCCAACAAAACTAAGGCACAGAGACTAAGAAGTACTGTGTCCGAGGTCAGATCATCGGGATGTGACACTGTGTTCAAGGTCAGATCATCAGAATGTGACACTTCAAGGTCAGATCGCCAGGATGTGACACTGTTCAGGGTCAGTCCATCAAGCTGTGACACTGCTGACACGAGATCCTGGAGGAGGTCTGAGTGAGGGTACATAACTTTGCTTTAACAGCTGGGGCTCTGAGGTTACCTCCTAGACACCGACTGTAAGCCCACATTCTAGGTGTGCCATGGGTAAAGTGGCCCACAGTCCTTGTCTGTAACCAATGGGGAAGTAACCGATTTTTCCCCTCCAAACTTTCTTTTCTGAGTTTCACTCTTTTATTAGAAAAATGTAATGGTGATGTATCTTGTAGGAGAGTTGTGAGGATTACATATGTTGGCATATATGGAAGCGCTTAGTACCCTGGGCTGTAACATCCATGTCAGGCACTGTTGTTTTCTTTCCCTAGGCATTGCTTGTTGGGGTGTAATCATCCTAACAGAACCCAAAGGGAAGGCCTTCCGTGTGGATTGAAAGTACTGCCTGTGAATTTGTCATCTATCCATGTCCCCAGGACAGCAGAACAAGCATGGGACTTATGGATGTTCTGGACAGACAAATGGACATTGAGAGACTTCAGTCCTGAGGATACTACAAGACTGAAATGTGGGCTGTTACTCTTTGGTCATGAGTGTCGTTGCCTTCTCAGGTTCCATGGAGACCAATAAATCCCTAAGAGAAGAGAACAGTTCTGTGTCTTACCTGGGGAAGGAAAGTCTAATAAAACTTTTAAAAATAATTTTTTTTAAAAAAAGGAAATAATAAGCCAAATTGGAAAATGAACTAAACTATTATTTTACTTTTTTTAAAAAATTTTTTTATTTATTTATGATAGTCACACAGAGAGAGAGAGAGGCAGAGGGAGAAGCAGGCTCCATGCACCCGGAGCCTGATGTGGGATTCGATCCCGGGTCTCCAGGATCGCGCCCTGGGCAAAGGCAGGCGCCAAACCGCTGCGCCACCCAGGGATCCCTAAACTATTATTTTAAATAGTACTTTTTACTTCTCCTATGATGGGGTCAACACCGTTTAACACTGAATTGGCATCATGTAATGTGCAGAAGTATACACATAAAACTTTATATCTGTGTACTGCTTATAATTTCCAAGGTGTTACCACCTTAAGAGTTTCAAAGCTACTCTTTTTCAAGGTGGCAAGTGAAACTTAAAAAGCAGTCCTAGTGATTTTGCTCAGGTTTATTCAGCAAGTTAGTGGTGCATCTAGGACTTGTTCAGTTCTCATTCTAGTCTTTTCAGAATGAGGATGACTCCAAAGAGGCAAGAATTATCTTTACGAAACAAAAGTCCGCATATAATAAAAGACAAGTACTGAGATATTTGAGAAAAATTCACAAAAACATTTGCTTCTTTGTCCACAACCACTGGAAATGTTTCTCTGATGAAATTTCCTGCTTTTGGGATAATGACTTAAAATTTGACAGTTCATTTCTAAAGAAGTCTGTGCTTCCTACCAGTTTTTTTTTTTTCTGTTTCCGATATACCCTAGCTACTCTATAATATACACACCTTTTTTCAGAACAGAAAGATAAAGTTCAGCTGCCAGTCCTAGCGTGTAAGTTTTAAAAGCTATGTTGAGCAAGTCCCTTCAGAACTGTTAACTCTGGTATGTAAGAGTGCCTGGATCTAATGCTGAATGACTGTATTCCCAGCATTTTCTTAGGTTAAACTAAAAATACATAAATCTAACTTTTGGTCTTGGATTGACCTCTGGATAAATAGAGTAAGTCTTAAATAACTCAGTATAATTTTAACATCTCAATGTGTACTAGTATGGAAATAAATAAGCACTTTTTCCAAATAAACTTTCCAGCTCACTAGAATATTGCCAAAATATGTTTGGTTCTTCTCAACTCCAGGTTGGGGCTGGTAGGGGCGGCAAATTAACCCAAAGGGCAAATGTTAAGTGCAGCAGTGCTGCTAAAAATCACTGCTCAGTCGTGTGACAACTTGCATGTACTTCAGAAATGTGGTTTTTGAAGGACTGTTTAGGTTTGAGTAAAATAACTCTCTGCTATGTCTATGGGCAGTTAAGTGGGAGTAACACTCCCCCTCCCCCAAAAATAGGTTAGTTAAATTTGAAATTAATAGTTGTTTTTCTTCTTCCTTATTTTTTAACTTTGGAAAAGTTGCTTTGATTTCTGCCAGTGCAAAGTCAGGGATACTACTTTAGTCCTGCAAAGCGGAAAGTACATAGAGTACCCCTATTATCTTCCCGTTTGTTGGGGATGAAGTGGGGTAAGGATAAATAGCCTCAAGGATCAGTGGGTTATTACTCGGTAATGAAAGAACACCTGTCCTTTATGATTCATGGGCTTGAGAATCTATGGCATGGAAATGAGTTTACAAAGGCTCATAATTGTAGCAAAGGAGAAGAGAAAAAGTACAAAAAGGGTAATTTTGAAATGATCTTACAGTTTTCCTTGAAACAAAGCAAAATGGAAACATACATGTGAACACTATGTCCAAAGTATTAACTAAACGTTTACATAGTATAAACTTTAGTAGCTCAGTGATAAATCATTACACGCGGGGGCACCTTCATGGCTCAGTTGGTTAAGCAGCCAAGGTGATTTTGGCTCAGATCGTGATCTCAGGGTCATGAGATCTAGCCCTGCCTCTTGAGATTCTCCCTCTCCCTTTGCTCTTACCCCCGCTTGCACTTGTGTGCATGCTCTCTCTCTCTGAATAAAGCCTTAAAAAAAAAGAAAAATGCATCATCTCTTGTGCCTTTTGTGTATCACATTGACCAGCCTGGAATCCTGTGATCCACTAACAGTATTTATGAACATATGAAAGGACCCAAATAGAGGTTGATCCTAAGGCTCTTGCTATATGTTGGGAAGGAGAGATGAGGAGTCTCTCTTCTCAGGCCAATTGCTGAGACTGCTATTGGCAGCACTGGAGACATCCAAGTGAAGATCAATCTAAAAAGTTACAGAGTTTCACCTGACTGAGACCCTAGTCTTAGATTAAGCATTTTAGCCATGGTTTGTACTACACCTCCACCCTCAGCAATTGCTCCTTGTTCATTACTGGTTTCTCAGCCTGGCTGAGTCTGGATTAGAGGTCTCTTGAATGAAGCCAGTTGATTTGATAAAATAAATTGCTCCTAAATTAAATATATGTTCAGGGCAGCATATGTTCAAGTACCCCCCAAAACCAGCCTTGGCCTCAACTGATTTATTGCCAGGACTACATTGATCAAACCGACACTTCTCAAATCTTGGTCAGGAATAGTAAGCAATTTTGAGTTGGAAGCCACTTTTTTTTTTTTTTTTTCAATGAGATAAATCCTTGCCTTGACCCAGTGATTATATAGGTGTTAGGGGCACAGAGTCGGAGGTGAAAGACTTATGATTACACATCATTCAGAAGGACCCTAAGAGCATGGGGAGAAAATATGTCACTCTCTAAATGCATGTCTCTTGGCCTTTGAGATATTCAGCAACTTGTCATTCATTTGTAGAAGGAGTGTTAGAGAAATAACTCAAAGGGCAAATGTTAAGTACAGCAGTGCTGCTAAAAATCACTGCTCATTCGTGTGACAACTTGCATGTACTTCAGAAATGTGGTAAGCAAGATTCTTAAGAGGTCTAGATCCCTGGTGTACACACACTTTCTCCCAGTTACTCAAACACCATTCTAGGTGCTGCTGTGAAGGAAATTTATAGATATGATTAAGATCCCAGATCAGTTGATCTTAAAATAGGGAGATTATCTGGATGGGCTAATCACATAAACCCATTAAATCTTGTTCTAGAAGTCAGAGACAGGAGAAGTTAGAGATTAGACACAAGAGGAGGATTCAATGTAAGATAAGTCCCTGCAGGACTAGAAGAAAACAAACATCCCTGTGAACTGCCTATGTGGGCCATGTGGCTAGAAGGTGCAGGACACCTGGAGCTGTTGAGTCATAGCTACAAGGGAAACTATGACCTCAGCTCTACAACTACAAGGGAATGAGCACTTCCAACAACCTGTAAGCTTGCATTTCTTCCAAACCTTATGAGAACCAAGAACTGCAGCCCCTTGGTTTCAGCCCAATAAGACCCTAAGCAGAGTATCTAGTTAGGCTGTGAAACTGTGAAATAATACATTTGTGTCATTTTAAGTCTCTAGGTTTGTGGCAATTTATTACACAGCAGTAGAAAATGAATACAATGACTCAGGAATGCTTTGTGATGTCGATGGCATGCCAGACCAAATATGCACTCCCATTCTGGTATTCGGGAAGTAACAAGAAGAGGCTATCCGGTAGCATTTGTCTTTACAGTTACTGTCTTTACCTGTTCTTTTACTGGCAGCTTTCTTGGATAGTTTTTGTGTTCTGTTTTCTAGCAAAATGTTCCACTGCTGAGTTTATGTGTGTGTGTGTGTGTGTGTATGTGTGTATAAAATTATGTGCATATATATAATATATATATATATATATATATATATATATATATATATATATAATCAGGGTCATGAGATCTAGCCCTGCCTCTTGAGATTCTCCCTCTCCCTTTGCTCTTACCCCAGCTCACATGTGTGTGCTCTCTCTCTCTAAATAAATAAAGCCTTAAAAAAAAATCATTGCATCATCTCTTGTGCAATGTTCACATTATATATATATATAATATATATTAATAGCTCCCTTTTTATGTGCCAAGTATTATGCTAAGTGCTTTGTAGGAATTGTTAAATCCTCTCAGCAGCCCTGTTTTACAGTTGAGATAAGCAAGGCCTGGAGAAGGTAAGAATTTTCCCAAAGCCTCAGGTGACAAAGCAGTAGTGGTTGGTGAAGAGCATGAACTGAGAGCTGGGGATTCATGTTGCTATAGTTTTCTTAGCATTCATTCTCAAAATGTTCAGATGTTAAAATTACAGATTTTGAGTTCTGATTTTCTGGGGTTTTTTTTATGATTTTATTTATTCATGAGAGAGACAGAGAGAGAGAGAGGCAGAGACACAAGCAGAAGGAGAAGCAGGCTCCATGCAGGAAGCCTGAAGTGGGACTCAATTCCGGGTCTCCAGGATCACACCATGGGCCGAAGGCAGCACTAAACCACTGAGCCACCCGGGCTACCCCGATTTTCTGTTTTTAACTTGATTATTGCTTAGTTTAATATGTATCATTAATCTCTTGATTTCCTCTTTTTTTAAAAGATTTATTTATTGATTTATGATAGAGAGAGAGAGAGGCAGAGACACAGGAAGAGGGAGAAGCAGGCTCCATGCTGGGACCCCAACGTGGAACTCGATCCTGGGACTCCAGGATCGTGCCCTGGGCCAAAGGAAGGCACTAAAACGCTGAGCCACCTAGGGATCCCTGATTTCCTCTTTTTAATTGAGGTTTTATCACTTATCACTCTGACAGCACTTTGCATATTAATCCAGGACAAAAAATTCACATCTCCCTGAGCAGGCTCATGCCCTTCCATGACTTTACCTGAATCTCTCTCCTGACTTTGGATGATTCTCCTGAACTTCAGACTCTATTTCCCAGCTGCAGTAGGGCATCCTACTTGCCTGTCTACAGACACCAGTGTCCCAACTTGTCCCAAATGAACTTACCTCACCCCACTACTTCTCTTATTTGCTATCTCTGTTCATAGCATTTCCATCTCATCAGCTGACCAAGCTAGAAACTATAGAATTATCTATGGTTCTCTATTCTTATTCTTTACCTCTGATCTGTTAGCCAGTCCTGGTTATTTAACCCTTTAATGCTCTTTTCTGAGCATTCCCATTGCTGTTGTTTTGGATGTGTTATCATCATTCCTAATGTAGATTAATACAATACAATCTTAATTTATACTTGCTTCCAGAAAACTGTTCTCATCCTCCCTCACACTCTAGCCAAAGGTTACTTTTAATTAAGTAATCTTTGGCTAGAGTGTGAGGACATCCCACCTAAAAATCTTTCAGTATCCCTGCTGCGCACAAGGTGAACTCCAGAGTCCTTGGAAAGATATGGAACGCCCTTCATTAATACACCCTCCATATCTTTCAATCTTCATCTTCTTCTGCTCCCTGACTTCTGTTCCATACACCCCATGTTCCTGCCACTCTTACTTAGCCAACTCTTCCTAAAGATGTCACTCTCCATGCCTTTGCACCTTCTGTTCCTTCAGCCTAAAAGAATATCCTTTTGTCTCTCCTCCATCTGAAAAAATCCCACTTGTCCTTCCAAGCCTAGCTCAAATGTCACCTCTCTGGCAAAGCCTTCCCTAAAAAGTCTTTGTGTCATTATTTTCAGGACTGTGCAACCATTATACTTTATATAAACTTCTATCGCTACAATTAAAAGATTGCTCAGTAATTATTTATGCATCTGCCCCTCCCCACTGATTGTGAACTCCTCAAAAAGAGGATTGTGCTTTTGTCATCTTCATGTTTCTGGTCCCCAGCACCAAACATGTCAGGCATTTGGTTCATATTCGGTAAATATTGATGAAAAAAAAAGTAAACAAATTAAAGAGGAAGGAGAGGGCAATGTTTGTTCCATTTGACAACTTTAGTATATCTCAGGTATAATCTCAGGCCCAAGAGCATAAACATCACCTGTGATCTCATTAGAAATGCACATTCCCAGCCCCATGCCAGATCCAATACTCAATCAAAAGCCCTAAGGGCAGGTCCCAATCTATATTTTAATAAGCCCTTTGGCTGGTTCAAATGAAGGTTTAAATTTGAGAACCACTGTGTATTTGAACTTGAATGATGTGTACAAACAGATCTCAACTGTAATGTAATGGAAAAAATCATCTGACTGAAGCCATGAGACTCAGGTTCTAATCTCAGTTCTGCCATTGGCTCCTAATCAGCTTTTGAGCAA